TATAAAATATAATAAGAGGAAAAAAGAAACTTAAGTCCCGACGGTGCAGTGTGGTTTGAACAGAACCTGTAATAATTTCAAAACTATATAGTCCGTAATTTATTAAACTAACATGAGAAAACACTTAGTTAATTGTTACTCTTAATCTAAACTATAAAAAATATAGTGGAAGGGTCCTTTGAATAAATGTTTTTGATAATGTTTGTTTTAAAAAGAATACAGCACCGAATTTTGAGACTAGGGAACGTCCCCTCTGTCTGTGCTCATTCTATCCACGATTAGCTTCATTTTAATCCCGGTTTAAAAACTGCATGATAATAGGGCTCACTTGTGTACTGTAAAAAATAGTCTACCGTTCATGCAGTTTCCTTTACCCATTGAGGATTCCGACAAATATTTTTATTACTATACCAATGTTTGCGTAGCCCTTATCAGTAAGGGTTGGGATAAAAACACCATTCAACCCGCCATCTTTCTTTGAATCCATTTTTCATGAATATCAATAGAACAGCTGGTATTATTAAAGGCATAGCTTTTCTTACATCGTCTGGTATTAAGCAATTAAATTGTTTTTTTTTTGTTTTTTGAAAATTCTCTCGAATTGAATTAAGCAATCCGTGTCGCAATCATAGATAAATATGTAATTTAGTTTTGAAACTGGTATCTCTTCAGTCACCATTTTTTTTAAAATATATCTTAGTGTAGTAGTCAAGAGATTTTTCAATAAAACCCATAAACTTATCCGTAGTTTTGAAACAATCTTGAAAACTAAGCCACTTGGTATTTTCAAACGAATTCCACATACTGCGAAGTCCGTTAGTAACATACGAGTGTTCTTTTATCGCCATTTCAAGTTCAATCTTCAAATCACAACTACAATCTTCCAAACGCATTCCAACAAATTGAGAAAGCACTTTTAACTCCCGCAAAAGAAACGTACATCGAAATAAATATTATGAAGGAAGAATATAGTAGGCGTATTGGTGGATGAATTTGTATTTTTTTTTAAACTTAAATGTTTAATATATAAAAGCACTTTAAAAAAACCTCAAAAACATAAGAGGAAAATTTGATTGTACATCTCAAACAAGCGACCCCAAACAGCCCACTAAAAGAAATTAATCGGCGTGTCCGAAAAAATAAAAACAAAAGAAACGGTAAATCCCACACTGGGAAGACAATACATCGCGTCGTCATAAAGTTGTCCCTCTCCCGCCAGGCGGCGCCATGGCGGTCGCCCCCTTTCGTCTCTTACCCGCCGCGCAGCCGTACGCACGTGCGTGCTACTTGTCTCATCCATTCACGAATCTACACAACCAAATCGAGACTCTATTCCCAGAGACTAAATCTCATTTTTGTTTACACACATTAACTAACCACAGAAGACGCTGCTCAGTCTATTAGTCACCGTATCACGTTACCATTAAACACATTTTTGCTCTCCTTTCGAAAGGCATTCCGCCACAGTCTAAAACCAATTGTATTGCCGTATGTTTGAACTTTTGTCCTTTTTTGATTGACTGTTATCATTGCCACATGCCCTTAGGATTTTTATTAATATTGACATTTTAAATTATTTGAATGTACTGCACGGGAGCAAGGAACTTGATTGGTTTTCTGACTGAGTTTCTCGTACACTGCAATATCAATCAATACAAGATAAAAAGCTCTCTAAAAACCTAATAAAAATAAAAACTTAATTTCATGTATAAAGTGAACCCGCCAGCACTGAGTCCATAATAAATTATGAGCTATAGAGTTGCTTCATAAACAAGGCTCCGTCATACAAGTATTATGCACCCCAACCACATAACAGCTCCCCAATGTATTGGTTCCTGACGAATGACCCAATAAATACCCATAAGGTAGAACGTGACACGGACAAAATGTTCGAGAAACATAAAAGCATTATCCTGTTAAGTAATTTATTTCTTCTTCAGGTTGTAAGTGAACGGTTATTTTATGGTACCACTTAAACGTTCTATAATCCTCGCAGTTAAAGCATAAAGGAGGGTGTCGGGACCCATAACGCAACACCATAAACGACAAAGAATTGAACTAAAGACTTAGTCACCTGTTCCGGCCTTAACCCATAAATCTTTACTTTTTAAAAGGCTACCCACACACTGGGCCGCATCTGAAGATTTTACAGGGCTTACATCATTCAAATTTAATTTTGGAAATATATTAACTTATTTTAATTACTTTTCATTTTCACAGCAGGCCTTTGAATTAAAGTATAGCGTTTTAATATTAAATTAAGAATTCATTATGTTCATTACTCAATTTCTTTTGGTATTTTTGTAAAGGAAGCCATCGTATTGCAAAGTTTAATTTCCTTGTCGTTTTCGATCGGTATATTAAAACCGAGAAAGCTTTCCTGACCCTAGTAACGTTAATCTCGATACTGAGTCATCGACTGTGAGTCAGAAAGATTTCATCCTGCTTGCCTCCCGCATGTTTCACTCTGCCCACTCTTTAGGAACCGGTCTAGATGAGTTTAACTGGCAACTGTATTTATACACACTTTATTTTATTATATTAGGTCCCTAACGCTCGTTATATTAAACATCACTTATATTACTAAATGTTCGAAGAATTATGGCTCTTAAGGCAGTACATTAAGTACCATAGTACATTATACGAGTGTTCTCTATGAGGTTCTTTTCCATGTTTATGGGCTATATTTTGAAACGATAGTAAAATTTCAACTACACAAAAAAAAAATAGTTTTGTCTTCTGTAACCAAATGTTGCAAACCAAATTTAAACGTTTGTGGGTTTAAACTTTTTCCATGTCTGTACATTAACTTTCAGTTTTGTGAATAAAATAGCAAAAAATTATTATAAACATTTAAAGAATGATCAGTCTAATGATAAAATCACTTATATGACCGTTCCTCTTGCTAAATTGACATCGTCACGCCGACAACACAAAACATTTGTAAATTGTAAATATTTAGATTTTGTTTTAATTAAAATAGTAAATAGTTGCCATACTTAGCAAATAAAAAATATATATCAGTTTCTAGCGGACGTGAGTGCAGTAACATTACCCATAAATTGGGTTAGATTGCAACCACTTATCTCTAAGGCATTACAACTGTGTGTAGTGCACGCCGATTGCGTGACCATTTTGCTTGTAGTAGTACAAGCAAAATGGTCGAGGTACAAAATACTTGTAACTATATTTTATAAGATAGTAAGTATTAATTTCTTTCTTTTACCAAAGTCTTTGTTTATTATCTAAAATATATTCTATCCATCCATTTGGACATAACAAGTAGACAGCTTTTAATAGTCAAACTACCAATGTTCATGACTACACGCATTAAAGACCAAATTACTTTTCCTTTACTGAAATACGCACTTAAATGTAAAAATTATCTTATAAAGTATCATTTTACGAAAATTATCTGCAATTTGATATTAATGATGGACAAAATATAATACGATAGAACATAAAAACCATATAAGAGGACGTCACTTCATGTACCCAAAGCATATTTACTGAAGATCGTATATTAAACCACACATAACGGTCAGCTTGACCCTTCTAATTTCGATTGGTGGATCATATTACCAGAGAGGTGTTGACACGCTCACTACAAGTGTCCCTACATCAAACACGGTAACCATAGGATTCTAATTAACTCGCCTTGTCAACAATCTCAGAGTTGTTTACTGTATTACAACCTATTGATATCTCATATTGCAAACCCACTTGAAGTTATACACTTGGGACAATCGCACTTCTCTTCACCAAATTAACATTTCATTGCATCGAAATCATTGCCATTAAAACAATAGACGGATATGCGACAGGAAAAGTCTCGTCGCAACCACATAATACATACATACCGTCACCTATTCTAATTCAAGGTTCATCATTAATCGATCCCATATACAGATAGACTGGCTTGAAAATGGAAACACATTATGTTTCATACAATGCAACAGATAAAGTTCCGTCCGCTACGGTAAACATCGCCAGGATCAGTAATCCAAGCGTAACATTGCAAAACGCAGAACAAACTGCTTCGCTTTGTGTTGCACTAATGAGAGCCACGTGGCTGTCCCCCGCAATGCAGACTGCACAATAAAACAATGACGGTATAGTTGTGCATTCTGCCTTTATTCCTGCAGGACTAACTGTCGCGTGACTGCGACTCGTTATGGGTGTACCGTAAGGAGCACTACTACAAACATTTCTATTTATTCTATTTCGAATGCGAATGCCGCCGAATATCACCAACGTTGCTCAGGACACAACTTTGGTCTCGGATTTTAGCTTTGAATTTTGAGCACTCGGTTGTAGTTTTCAAACCATATTATATATAATGTCTGTGATGATGTCAAATGAAAGCATTTAGCTTTAAAAGCTCAGCTCTTAGTTTTAGTAAATATTCAATTTCTGAAAATGCATAAGCATTTGAGATAAAAGTAATGCACTTAAAAGTTCATTCGGTAACTTGACTTGGTTAACTACGTGTTATTTCTAACTTTCAAATCTTTCTTTTATTGTGTCTTTTAATTATGTTTTTATTTGGAGTTATTCAATTAAATGAATAATCGAATCATGGATAGAATATTAAATTTCAGAAGGTAAAATTTTGAACTATGAATACATATGCACCGTAACCTACAACTTCATTCCTCTTAACTCCAATAAGATAAACGAACTTTGCAGTTGTAACTCACAAACTTTTTTTCATACTATTTTTGAGTCAAAGAGAGAAAAGAACAGAACACTGGGTTCTGTCGGTTTCCATTGATCTTTACTCGTTTAGTAATAACAGTCTCGTGATAGATACTCGTGACACTTTTGACACAAACACGAGAACTTTTGAATGAAATGTTTGTTCGCGCGCTGTCGTCAAACAAAACAACATAAACATTGGATACTGGATATCGTCGAGGTACTGAAGTTTGTGGGGTCCCTGTCGTTATCGGCTTCGAGGACTATTAAGTCTATTGTTGTATGAGTTCACTAACACCGACATGTTTCTATGCCGATTGTCGGTGGACTCACCTAATTGTGCGAAGACCTTGGGTCTGACGTTCTCCTGCCAGGCGGCGGCGGCGGCGGCGACGATTGCCGCCAACAGAAAACAGCGCAGCACGATCATGGCACTAGTCACAAGTCGACATCACTTGAAGAGCACTCGCGACGCGCGGCTCAACGCGACACAGGCAGGCGGGGCGCGTGGCGGCCGGCGGCAGACTGGCGGGCCGGGGGACTTCGGGGGCGCGCCTGCGCTGCCGGCGCCCCGCGGTCTCGCATGCGTGGGGCTGCGGAGTGCGGACCTCGCACGTGACGCAGCCCTCCTCGCCCCCAGCGCACCCTCGACGGCTATCGCCGACCCTGCGACGTCATAATCGCGTTAAAAAAGCGCCTGCATATCCTAATGAACGCCGACACTAAACCTGCAATTAAACTCCACAGGGTGCCGCCTCAGGCTCTACTTTTGTTTTTGACTGTATTCAAAATTCGTTAGGGTTATTCCGAGGGCGTGACAGTTGAGCGAATCGTAAGGTCGCAATTACAACTTTGGTGGCTAACAACACGACACAGGGTCGAGTGCGTTGCGAAAGCTTCTATTACTTTCCCTTCAGTAGGAAATTCTCAAACTCGTACTGCTCTCACTAATTGAGAGCTTTAGGAACATTTCCTAATTACAAAGTCAACTACCTGTCTTGAAATCAATTATTCACCTTGTTAGACTTTCTGGGGTTTTATTGTAAACCAACCCAATTTACTACTGAACCACAGTTTTAATAAAGTAAACAAACATTCTTACATTATAAGGTCTTTCGTTTTAATTTCACAGATCATAAAATTAATCTATCATATACAAACCAAACTGAATAAAAGATAACGCAGACCAATGCTTTCACAAAAATTAGTTCCACGAGGGTCTAATATCTACATCATACGAGAGCTGGTGCAACTTTATCGAAATAAAAACTTTCTATAGGGCAGTAGGGCTCCCATTCGCATTCATTATTATTATTAATTGAACAAAGTTGTTCCCCATTTATTTAATATGAACAGTGTAGAACTCTGTCAAAGCAATATAATTCCGACGTTACACCAGTAATGCATTGTGCATTCCCCGTGAGAAAATCAATAAAATAAACATTGATTGTTCCAACTCTTGCGCCTGATACGGTGTTCATTGTACGGATGTTTAAAATTTTGAACTATTATTTCTGATAAATGGTGTTATAAAATTATGAGTATGAAAATATTAATACACCAAATAGAAATCATAAACAATTTAGCTATATAAGATATGTTTATATCATTAAGCAAAGATTTGTGGAACAAGTTATCGGCTGCGGTATTTCCGGACCGATACGACCCTTAAAGGCTGGCAACGCGCTACTCCTGAGTTGCAGGTGTTCATGGGCGGCGGTAGTCGCTTTCTATCAGGTGACCCGTCTGCTCGTTTGCCCCATATTCCATAAAAAAAAAACAAATACCGTATACCACTGTGCACTAACACTATTTACACTGTCCCCAGTGTAGTTACAGTCTAATAAAAATTAAGTAGGAAATTCTCATTACAAAGCGACACTCGGTGTCGCATAGCCATAGAAATTTAATAAAATTTGTTAAGGCATAGCAGTTAGAAAACTGCAACCTGAAAATAACTTTAAAATGAAACTTTTAGAAATAAGACAAAAATGTTCTATTCTGAGATCTTGAGGAGTATTTGTTTCTTATAAGAAACGTATTAATCTGCTGCAATGATCAAATAGTTAAATCTTTCTAATAACTTTCGAAAGCTACCTTTCAAAACCACATGCCATTGAATTTTTAATAACATTATACTTGTTATCAATTTTTTTAAATTGGTAATAAGTGTTTTCAAAATACACTTATATAATTTAAAAATCAGTGTATATAAAAATAATAATAACCTCACACGTCTCACATAACGCCGTCTGTTGCTACGAGTAAATTAGGCAGCTACGGTACTGTGGCAACCGGACTGCTGATAAACATACTTATATAGTTATAAATACATACATATTGTAGATAAATTACATCTAGACACAGTACAAATGATCGTGCTGATCACACAATTAGCAGTCAGGATCACTACTAGACCAACAGGGCCATCAAATCTTAAAAAATAAGAAAGAAAAACTAAAAAAAAAACGATTACATGAACAGTTTTGTTGTCTTTACACTCAATATAAGGGATCTTGCAATCAGCCAGCCGCTTGCTAAGAATTATTAAATTAACTGTTGTCGGTAAAATTAATAACAGCACATGAGTTTACGACTCGTTTAAGTGAATTAGTCAAGTACATACATATAAAAGCATATCCTATGGTTCGATATCAATCGATACTGGAGCATGTTAAAGCACAAAAGTCATTAGTAAAACTTGTTTCTTCATGAGAGGAATTTTATTCAACGACGGAAAATAAACATTATTCGTTGATTTTAGAGAAAACGACAGTTAGAGAGAGTAATAAACACATAAAGATGTCTTTAGAACTTTTACTTCTCTTAAGTTAAAGTAAATTATACTTAAGTGATTGATACAAATAAATTATATGCATGATACAAAATAAATTTTATACATGATACAATATAAATTATACTTAACTCATGAAATATAAATGAAAAATTATCACCAACCGTGTCTTCAAATAGCCAAACAGGGACAATTTGAAATTCTCAAAACGTCATAGGGGGAGGATTTCAGTGTCCCACGTTTCGTCAAAGCCCTTTCCGAGAATGCTCGATCGGTTTGAAATCCGGTGCTTCGTGCTGGTCCCCCCATACTATATCTTTTTATGCTTTTATATGCAACTACCCTCCTTTGATTTTACCGGACATAAAAAACTGCAGTCTAACTTGGTAGTCCATATCAGACCACCACAATTCTACAAATAAGTTATACTAAGTCATATAAAACAATATAATAAGCCTAGTGTACTAGTAAAACCAAATTATTGGGTACAACTACATTTATAATAGGAACCTATTTAAAACGAACACAAATATACCTTACTCGGAAATATCACTGCTACAATACAAATCCACAGACTTTATTAAAGCAGATGCAGTAAAAGCATTCTAACATTAGAAATATTTGATATTCCAGTTCTACATTAGTGCAGATATTCGAGAAATAAAAAAGGAATCACTTAAGTAACGAATCCACCGCCGCCTATTAACGTACCTAATAACTAGCTAAAACATTATTGCCAAATACCGAAACGAACCTCAGTTACTCGTATAAAATGTAAGTAAGTCTCATACGTCTACTGTCACGTTAGATGTATTGAACCGGAGTGCGGCATCTTATAATTAAACAGCATTTGAGTAATCGTTTGTCAGTCTCTTTGGCAGGCTTCTGTTTAGCTACACCATTATGAAGGGCTTATATTGCAAAACTACAATATTTTAAAGGTATTCAAAACAGGATGCATTATGAGCCCTTATAAGTTTATATATAAAGAGCCTTTAATGTGGAAGGTGTTTTATAACTTTTATACCATAACTCAGTTACCATGCAAACGATATAATATAGCATGAATGGAACTCAGTGGAAGAAAACTCAATCTGCACAGGATTGAATACTAAAACTACTACTTTAATGATGGAATCAACCGTATATCTTCTTTAACTTAATCTCAAATTTGCTATAATTTCGATCGATATAACAAAGATTATATTTGCTTAATTCTATTCAACTTTGTTTAAACAACCACTATGTTTGCCCAAATGTTTGTATCCCCCAAATTCCAGTACCGTAAGTACTGGGATTTGGGAATAAAACTGAGCTTATTTAAAATTAGTGACCAATAAAAAGAAGACACGATATATGACACAAATACCAACTTCCGAATAAGATCGTCACGTCTGTGCAATTTCGTCCGTCCTCTGGCTAACTGTCGCAATGCCACCCTCGGCAATACCCCGCGAAGATTTGCCGGACCCAAATCTTAGGCCGAGGGTCCTCCCCTATTCATTCTAACAATTTCTGAACTTGAACATAATTCATTTTTTATTGATGCTAAAGCAATTAACTTTTGAAGTCGTTTTTTCTTTACAATCAAAAGACATCGTACAACATCACTTTAATTAAGAATTTAATAGGTCGGTTGATGTATATTTTTTAATTACATTTTTAGAAAGCATTAATGAGCCATTCAAAGTACTTATGGATGTGAGTAAAAATAAAGATCATTATAAACGAATGATCATAATATTGGTACTACTGGACTGGAATTTTTATAATTTTACACCTATCAAAATGTTTAAAAAGTAAGATTTTGCACTGAAAAGATTTTCATATTGATAGTTCGTAATAATTCCAATAAATGCTGTTGTTATTAGTAATCCTATTTTTAACCGAAAAACATGGAAAGGTTCTCAGGATAGATGGATAGATATATGGTATGAATTATTGACATGTAGGTATATCATTGTCTTACCGAAGGTGGTGGCTACCGACATGGCAAACATATATTTTTTATTTGTAAACTGTGTCCTTACATTTTTTGAAATTTAGCAGTAGATAAGATTTCAGTAGATAACAATATAATAATTTAATCATGTTAGGTAAATAGGAATTTAAAATTAGCAATTAAAATGTAAATATCATATTTTACATTGAGAAAATAAACACTTATTACAAAAAAAACTAAACCGACGCATGAAAAACAAAACTATCATGCAAAAACTATCATACATAATCCGCGCTAACCCGCTTTTCTAAACTTGTACTCTAAAGTACATACCTAAACAATTATTTGTCGGGGCAAAAAACATCACCCTTCATAACATAACCCAAAATGATTTAGGTATTTAAGTTGTCTAGAAGTTTAGTTACGTTAGAAAGTTTATTTTTTATTTATTATATTTTTCTTTGTGAAATAGTTAATAAATTTAACAACATTAAAATTATGTTAATTCAGTATACCTAAGCCCAATAAGGCAGTTCGAAACTATAAGAACTATATTATACTCGTACTACTAAGTATGTCGTATGAGCACGAAAGTACTTACTCACACAGTTACACTTAAATCACTGATTGAACCAAAACAAAAGAGAAAATGTTCCGTCAGACTACATCTATTTAATTAGTTCCATTCACCGTATACGTCTTTGGGTGCGGCCGTTTCTTCCATTACATGTTCGATTCTATTTATGTTCTGTTTTAGCCCATTGAGTAATTTAATCGAAATGAAAACACCTAAAATAATAATAATAATAATAAATAAAAGGGAGACCAGACAAGGTATAAAATAACAATAATAATAATATTGTACCACATTCACACAACGCCGTCTAGTCCCATACTAAGCAGAGCTTGTACTATGGGTACTAGACAACTGATATTAATACATA